CAGGGTGGCAGTGCCACCACACAGTGTCCTTTGTCCCCTGGTGCTAGCTGCCCGCCTGGCACCGCTGCCCAGCCCCCACCCTGGCGCCGCCAGTCCCCACGCGTGTCCCCACGTGTCCCCCATCCCGGCACACACACACACCCCCCCAGCCTCACACAGTTCTTGTCATCCCTGTATTCCCCGGGGGACATGGGGGTGGCCAGGGGGTCCCCCGCGGGTGGGGGGGGACACGGGGTCGGCTCTAGGTGGGGATGGTGCCGGTGGCCAGGAGGATGATGAGGATGAGGATGATGGCGCCCACCAGGCCAAGGATCACGAGCAGCTTCACGTTCTTCCACCAGTACCGGCGGGCCATCTTCTGGGACGTCGTCTTGAAGTGCTCCGACTGCGGGGACATTGGTTGGGGGAGGGGACACGGGGACAGTCCCTGCCACCCCGGAGGATGGCTCTGCCACCCTGGGGACCCCCCACTGCCACCCCGGGGACGCCCACTGTGACCCCAGGGACCCCACTGCCACCCTGGGGACGCCCACTACCACCTCGGGGACACCCCCAGCCCCAGTGCCCAACTGGACCCAGTGCACCGGAGTCCCCTCGGGGACCCCGTGTGCCACAACCCTGCGTCGTTCCCCCCCGCCCAGGATCCCAGCACCAGCCTGAGGACCCAGTGCCACCCCAGGGGACCTGGTGCCCCCAATCCGGGACCCCCCTGGGGACACTGTGCCCACCCCAGCACCCCATGTCACCTTGGGGACCCCCTGCCACCCAGAGTGACTGACGCTGCACCCACCCAGGGATGCTGCACCCACCGGGGGATGCAGTGCCACCCTGGGGACCCCCTGCCCGCTCCAGGGACCCTCTGCCCACCCCGGGGACCCACTGCCCGTACTGTGGCCTCCAGGTCCTGGCTCTTGCTGTGGAGCTGCTCGAGGTTCTCGCCCCGCGCCAGGATCCGCTCCACGTTCTGGGTCATGATGGTTTTGACGCCTTCGACCTCCTGCTGCAGCGCCCGCACGCGCCCGCCGCCCGTCACGTCGCCCGCCGTGCTGCCCGCCATGCTGCCCACACCGCTGTCCGCCTGGGACCACAGGGCAGGTGTTAGGGTGGGCACCCCAGCACCCCACAGGGTCCCTGACACCCTCCACAGCCCCACCTACGCCCCGGCA